ACTCTATGTAAAAATAACGAAATAAAATACACCACGTGTTTTTGTATTATTATTCGCTTATAGCGAACTCCGGATATAACGAACCAGTTTTAGTTAATTTTTCAAGTTTGTTATATCCGTACTCAATTCTATATGCTTTTTGCGTATATTAAACCTCTGTAGGTCTGCATTCAATGGCGTTCTCGAAACTGTTCGAAACGTTGACGTGAAAAATGCGAAAGCCACTGAACGCGAGATTCTCTTCAAATCTCCTATATATTTAAATAACACAATTAAAATTAATTCGATCAAATTTCTCCATCAATTTATGAAGAATGCACTAGCCAGAATGCCACACAAGTGCAACAAACATTTAATTGGGATGAAGAAAGCGTATGGATGGATGTGAGATCTTAAAAGCGATTAGTTAGTCAGTTAGTTGGTTTAAGCCGCAGTAATCGGCGTTTCAGTTAAATTATCCATGATTTTCTTCATTCAATTACATTTCTTGCGCATGCAATTCCATTTAATGGCCCACTTTTTTCTCGCTATGAGCATGATAATAATGGTTGATTGTTTATATCTGTGAAGGTTAAATGTTGCAACTGGGCTGAGTCGGTTTAGGAATTTGAATCAGCCAGTAAATAGTCGCGGCGGAATGCGAAATATGGTAATATCGACAGTCACACCTCATTTATATGTCCATCATGCGGCTAATTAGCATTTCCAATTTACTGGGAATTGGCTTGATGCTATCAAGAATCAGCAGACAACGGTTGAAGAAGATGGAACATTTTTGAAGCACTTACATGTTACTGGAAGGGCAGGCATTGAAGAAGATGGAATGGATGGAAGGATGGAGAAGGAAAATGTTTTCTCGTCACGCTCCCAGCCGGAGAAAACAAGCAAAAATATACAAAAGTGCATCTCGGAAGTAATATGCAAATTTATTTAAAATTCATCGGTGTGTTTGTTTGGAAAAAAGCTCGGACCAGCAAATTTTTACTGTCAAGTGCGGTTTTTTTCTATGGTAAATTTATTTATACAAGTTGATCAAAGATAAGTTGCGACCATCAACTTAATTTTTTCAAATGTTTGGCACCTATTTTTCATTTCAATTTTTAATTATCTGTTGAATTCAGGTACAATTTTCCAAACGTAGACTCAATAAAACTCGAGGAATTTGTGAAGTGAAAAAATTATTTCAAATCAAAATGTGCTTTATTGCCACAGAAAAATTCACAAATTTTATGAAAAAAGCGAGTAAAAAAACAGAACAAAATACTACTACAACATACAAGGTGATTCAAAATTGGCGTCATTCCTTTTAAGGAGTAATTGGAAGGTACAAGAAAAATATTGACATTTTTTTTTCGATAATTTCTAGAAGATATTAACAGTTGAAAATCCAATTTCAACTTTGCTATTAACCATTATTTTGAAAGTGTTCCATGTTTAATTGGAAGCATATTTGAATGCTTAAGCATTCAAAAAGAAAAAGTGCGATCTTTGTTTCAAGTTACGAACATTTTTGATATTAAAAAAGTTCTCTTCTGCAATTTTTTGATGAAAAGTCAATGCAGCTATGATGTTTTTTGTCATTAACAGATAGTTATAGGTGGATAGCCCTTGTCAATAATAACAATAATTTGTCAAACTGTGACTTACTTT